CCATTTATAACTGCTCATGAAACAAATTTTCTAAGCAAGTCCAATCATGCACGAAATGTGCAGGGAGTGTTGTGAACCATGTGAAAGCACTTTTAATTAGAGAACTAGGGAAATATATCATACTTAAATGATCATTATTTTCAATATCTCGCTTCGGTCAAATATCGAGCCATATGTTTGACTGTAGATTCACTAGCGTCGCCAATGAATTTGGTAAATTTAGGGACTTTCCAACCCATTGGGAGTTCCATCTGTAACACGTACTCTGAAAATAGAGATGAATAGTTAGGCCTCTAAAGGTCAATATTCATGCCATTTTGCATCATTATCCTTTCGACAATGGCTTCGAGATTGTCCTCTCCAACCAAATTGTCTTATAGAACTTAATGGACCACTTGGTCTGCCTCCTAGTTTCAATTGACTATAATAACTAGTTGGAATTCTACTTCCTTGTGTATTGGTTATTCGACTGCTTGGGGCATAAACTATTGGCCCTGGTTAACTGTTTTCTCAAGGATGATTCCTTCATTTCAGACGAGCCTAATTGGCTAAGGTTATACCACTGGTCGAACTTGCGCCTGAGGGGAACCAAAGAAATCATAAATTCACGTCATTTGACCTATTAGTTGTTGATTCCTTTGAGTTGTACTCTGAATCAAAGGTTTAAATATGGTACCCATTTGTCAGATAAGCAAATTAACCATTTAACGGTTGCTTTCATCCATTTATTGCCTTAACACATTCACATAACTTGTGGTGAAAGTGGACATTGATTGGGATGAAAATCTGACTCCTAGAGGTTGGATGGTCCGAACAAAGTTGTTTATAGACGATCCTAATCCCTGTAATGGCGAGTACGTATTCATCGTATCAGCAAATGTTAAAGCATTCATATGCAAACTTGTCACCATCGAAGTTGGCATGCCATAGAGTTGTTCCCGACCATTCATGAGTATTGTGAAACTAGGAATGTATGGCTTGAAGTCACTAGCCACATTTAGTCCGGGAGTCACAGTGTGACTTTGTGTTGCTGATGAAGTACGTATTGACCCACTCCATGCAATTGACGGGATGACCACCGTACTGGCTGTAGAGGGGATTTCCTCATTCAAATCGCAGCGACTATGCATTCTTCCATGGTATTTGAAGGTTATTCTCCATTATTATTCATGGGGTTCACCATTTTCCTGATGTATTTCCTTTTTGGAACTATCACGTTGTTCTTGGCTATCCTACCACTTCTCAATCTCATGCAGACTCACGATTTTGAACAGTTTCATGAATGAAGAACATGCAAAGAATATTTAGAAAAAATTTAAACTTTTTGCACTTTTGTTAATTTATCCTACCACTGGGTGTGCCAATTTGTTTACTATTAAATTTGGTAAACAAGCGCTAGTCTTCCAAAAAATGGTTACTTGCAGGATCAACTAGGTTTATTCTAGGACATGTGTGCATAAAGTTTCTTAAATTTTTGTATGGTTTTTTATGTAAAAGATGAAGACTTCGACTTAATCGAACTCTTTAGGGTAAAATGAAAGGTTAAATGTAAGAGCATGAAATGTAAAGGTTTTCGACAGAAAGTAAAATGTTGAAAAGTAATTTAGTGTAAAAGACTTTGAATTGATAAAAGATGGTGTTTTAATACATACATTGCACTCTGTTACACTTTTCTCATTTTGCTTAGATACTTTAAGTATATTGAGTTTTCTGTAGTAATATCAATACACCAAATCTAACAATAGAATCTCATATTTATATTAAAAACTAAATAATTGTAAGGAACCGTCCTTTCTCCAGAAAGTGACACGTTTTTGCTTGCAAGCATTTTGCCTTCAGCTTGCTTCTACGCGTCCTTCAGAAATGGATAAGGCCAAAAAGTAGTTACCTAGCTTCGTTTCACATCCCAACTTCTCCAGTCGAAATGATATTCAAATTACTCAAAAAATAATAAGTATTAAACACTATCACGCGCTTAGGAACTTTGGCATGTTTTTTGAATAGATATGTCGAAAACTCTTTTCCCTCGTTCTCGTTGAAGATACCATAAACTCAACTAAGTTTCTTCAAGCATTTTTTTAATCTTTCTTTGATATTTTGAGACTTAAGATGCGTCAAAAATCCAGATAACAATATGTAATACCACAATTTGATTCTTATCTCTTCTCCAACCCAAAGGCCATCATGAGCTCAATGAGTCTCAAAGGTCTTGTAATCGTTTCTTCAAAACCTTGGAGATTTCCCCCGCATTATGGTTATATAATTAATGGCAAACTGAGTTCTCGTACATCTCAGCACACATGATATCATATGAGATTCACTGGTATATCAATATGTGATGAACATCATGACATGCCATGACTACACATGAGAAAGGGTATGTGGTGGTTCAGAATGTCTTTGACAAGTTTAATATTGTAAAATGAAAGAAGGGGTCTCTTACTTACGTGTGTTCTTAAGAAGCGGGTTCCTTTGAGATCCTTTTGTAAGATGAAACATGATCTCTCATTGGAAAGCGAGTGGTGTTTGTCGACGAAAAAAGTCTGGTGAAGACGTCTTTCCTACTACTAAGGCTCGAGTTTATAGGTATATTCTCCCAGCTGGTGCATAGATGTTTAGCAACATAAGCCTCATTGGAGATATCGTCCCACCGATTGAACATCCTTTTGAGTGTACGATAAAGATTTTGAACAGGAGTTAGAGTTGAGTTATCCATCGTCTCTGTTGGAGGCTTGAACCTTTGGTCGTGGAGAATAGGCGTACTAATGGAACACGTCATCTTGTTGTGAAGTGGAAGATAAATGAATGTCATATATCACGATTTTCATAGACGGCACCAATGATCCGATTTTGGCCTAAAAAATCTTGATGAAAGACTTATCATTGGTGAGATAGTTGGTTTTAATAGCGCTTTCTTTGCGATGTGTTTTCGTATTACTCGTTGTGTATGTAACGAACTTTATTCAATCTTACACCTCAAAGAGATATATTCATGTGACGAAACTTAAAATGCTTATGAGGTCTAAGAACCCTATCTTCTAGTTCGTCTTTCTTCTTGATCCCTTGATCTAAGCGTCTGCAAGAGTCACTATTGAGATTGAATAGTTTTTAGTACGCGTCAATATCTTCTTGGGTTGGTATCATCTTTAAGTCCATCGAGATAGGAACATAAATCATTCCCATATTATATATGAGGATTTCTTATTGCACCCTGTATGTTTGAAAAACACCCTACAAAATTCCAAATATATCCTTTAATTTTCGGAAATATATTTCCGAACGCACCCTACACACATACATTTCATTCTTTTTTGAATTACGCCTCAATTTTACGACCTAATTTATTTCAAAAATACATTTTCGAAAAGTTTTCAGAAATATATTTATGAAACTTACTGATTTAAATCCTTGCATACATGATTTTGTTATCATCACCTCTAAATCCTTCGTTCCTCTTTACATGATCAATGTAAATATTTTTTATACAATCAATTTAAAAATAATATAAACGATAATTTAAAATACATTATACAATGCATCAAAATAATTCTGAAGTATACAATAATCATGTAAATAAAATTAGTAATATCATTATACTGAACCACGTACACATTTACATGCAATACACCCCACACACATGTATTTCAATAAATTTCGATCCAAAAATATATTTCTAAAATAAATTAAATCATAAAATTATAGCGTAGCTCAAAAACAATCGAAATATATGTAAATAGTACTATCGAAAATATATTTCCAAAATCTAAGAGCATTTTCGAAAACCCAAACAATACGTTAGAATATTATAGAGTGTATTAAGAAATTTCTAATAAGATCCTTTTAAACAAAGGCGCCCGGGTCCATGTCCATGTCCATGTCCAGTCCTGGTTTCAAAACCGTGCTATTAAACAGAGTTTGCATTGTAGTACTGGCATGTACTAGAGTCTAGAGTCTAGTGATCAATTGAAAGGACGAAACTAACTGCAGTCTTACTCTTACCCGTGGCCTGCATCATTCAACATTATTACGCATTTCAATTAAACTTTCTCTGCAACCATTAAACAACCACTTATCAACCCAAGACAACACCCCAATTAAAGCACAACATTTTAAAATCCAAAAAGAAAACAAAGCCTTCAATTATTCTTGGACGTTGGGCATGCCAGTAGAGACTAGAAAACGGTTGCGCAACCTGCAAGTAACAACAGCCGCCAATATTAAATACTACCACTACACTACTCACTCTTTAACAAAATAAATTTTAAAAAATACTCATACTAACAAATGTTGTTAAAAATTTAATTATCGAATTCAAACTTAACCTTTTATACTAAAAACAATTACTATTGTTAAATGTAACATTTTTTTTATCATGAAAATTTGAGCACTAGATAGAGATTTCACAGAATAGGAAATATGAAGGGATAGAAAGCAGTAACTTTAACTGGCAGCAGTATTATTTATTGATCACTTTTCTCTATTCCCATGGGCGAAAATCTGCCTTTCCCTTTACCATCTCTCATTTAGCTTGTGATTACGATCTCGAATCTTTCGTTTTCATCTTTTCTTTATTTTTCTTCTTTAACGTGTCTTTCTTTCTTCTTTTTTTACTTCCTTCTTCATCTAACTATTCTGTCACAGTATCAATGTGAATGTTTGATCACGATCGCGATAAAAAGAACCAACACATCCCCACTTCTCTTTTTAGAAAACCAAGTACATACCCTACTTGATCTCTTTTTTAAATCACCTATATACTGTGCTTTTTTATTGTATTCTTGGTCTCCCAAAACATTCTACCATGTCAGTAACATGTACTATTGTATTTTAGTAACTTTATTTTGTACCATGAAATTGAAAAATAACTTTAACAAATAAAAATAGTTTACACAGTAAATGAATTATTATTTTTTTATTATTATTATTCATGTCTAAAAAGAACAAATTAACGAAATAACTATAGTTAATTAATCATATGGTTCTACTAATTAAAATTAGAATTACATTATGCTAATGACACGATTAGAACAAACATGAGTAGTTTCGAACACAGGCAAATCCTCAAAATAATACCCATCATTTCCAATCAAAGCTTGATCAAGCTCGAAAAGATCTGAACTTGAACTACTTGACACGTCATCATCATCCTTCACATTTTTTCTACTAGAAAAATCTCTTAAAAGTTTCCGATTAAGATGAAACTCTCTTAAAACATCATCCACTCTCTTGTTCATATTCAAAACCTCTTGTTCTTTCTTCTTACTCACTGTTCGTCCAATTTTCCATGCCGATGGAACAAATGCCGTTACACCTGAATCTTCTTCTCCTTCATGCAAACATTTGTTACCGCAAACTCGATTTTCTTCATCAACAATCACACTTACCGGACAAAAACGCACTGTTCTTTTAGTGCCATTACGCGATTTATCTCTTGATGTAGATGAGTTCTTACTCAAACAAGAACGCGAAAACGAAGAAGCTGAAGAACAAGTTGAAGATTGTCCTGATTTACCTTTTCTCTCTGCATTCACGTCTTCGTGAGAGGAAACATTTTTTGTTTTCTTTGTGTTTATAAACAAGTTGAGAAAACTTGTGAGTTTTCCACCTGGTGAGATTGGTTGCTTCACCTTTTTGAGATTGTTGTAAAGCTTCATCGCTCTTGATTTCGATTTGATGAATGTATCTTCGTCTCTCGCAATGCTTCTCTCTGGAGGAACGGTTATTTTCACCGGCTTAGGCTTCGAATGAGCAAAACACGGATTTAGTGATTTTGCTCTGTACATTGGTTCTGTATCGGAGGAAGACGATAATAATCCAGAGCTTGAATCTGAAGAGCTTGAAGTGGAACTGAAGAACATAACATCTTGATCATGATCACGATAATGATGCATTTTTCTCTCGGTTTGTGTCCCGATTTTTAGGCGAATATTAGGTACTTCTCCGTCGAATCTATTGCATTTAGCATTGGTTTTGCTCATTTTGTTACCTGTTGTTTCTGTGAAGAATTTCTTATCGGAACTCTTTTTCTCTTCTTCGTCGATGGAACTGTAAATCTTGTCGAGAACAACGGAAGAGAAAGAGGGGGTTTCAATTTCAGCTTGGTTGTGAAACTGAACCCGTTTTTCTCTACGCGTGTTCTCAAACTTATACATTTTTGATAAAACAGAAGTGTGAAGTGAAATGATGAAATAAGAAACAAAACAGGTAAAAAGAAAAGAAGATATTATTGGGATGAGAGTGGGGTAGAGATTTTAAGTTAGATAAAATAAAAGTAATGATGATAGAGAAGGTTGTTTTGGTTTGGTGTGGGAATGGAAGAAGAAAACGTGAAGAGAGTAATTGATTCGTTGTGTAAAGAGAGAGAGAAAAATGAGAAAAAGAGTAATGAGAAGAGAGTGGCACGCTTTGGAGTTTAGAAGAAGAATGAATGGGAAGAACAGCAGAAACAGAGGCTTTTAAAGGTGTTGTGGATCACGCGCGTGCATCTACATCTTCTTCTTTCAATGGGTGTATACCGACGTGGCATTCCTTTCTTCCAAGAATTCAAAGGATTTGATTATCAATAAAAACTAGTACTAATATAAAATTAAAGAGAAGATAAAGAAATACTACTTAATTATGAAAAATAAAAAGATAATACTTAACAAGGTGGAGCAACATCCAGTCAATTTTACTTTTCTTTGAGTCGATGTCGGATTTAAAAGTTAATTTTCATAAGAGTTTGATAGCCAGAGTTAATATTCTTCAAGTATGGATAGAAGAAACTGACAGAATATTAAATTATAAAATTGGATCTCTTCCGTTTAATTATCTCGGTCTACTAATAAGGGTTGATCCAAAGAGGAAGGATATTTGGGTTCATGTGATAAACACAATAAAAGATAGGTTTTCTAATTGGAAGAACATATTCCTTTCCATTGTGGGTCAGATTGTTATCTTAAATTTGTCTTGTATGCGATTTCAGTCCACTATCTCTCTTTATTCAAGGCTCCAGCAAGTATCGTTTCACACTTAAAATCTATATTCAAACAATTTCTTTGGGGGGTAGTGAGGAAGTAAGAAAAATTAATTAGGTTGGGTGGGATAAGGTTTGTAGACCTATCGAAGAAAGGGGACTAGGAGTTAAAGATTTAAAAGTTTTCAAGAACGCTTTACTAGGCAAATGGAAATGGAAAGTCTTTGTTGAAAAAAGGGGGATTTGATATACAACATTGATAAATAGATATGGAGTAAATATGGTGAATTAGTTTTCGGGAGAACATGAATCTTCGAGGTGGTGGAAGGACATTAGTCATTTGGAATTAGGAGAAGTGGGTGATTATTCGGTGAGAGAGGTGTACAAGGGGTTAATGGCAGAAGAAGCAGACCATCCAGGGTACAATTGGCAGAAAGTATGACATAAAGTGATACCGATAAAAATCTCTAGCCTGATGTGGAAGGCATTGCACAATAAAATACCGACCAAGGATAATTTGGCTAAAAGGGGAGTGTTAGTTCAAGGGGGGGTTAGATGTGTCGAAGATTGCAGAAAGGAAGAGTCGACATCCCATATTTTCTTTAAGTGTCATGTGTTTGCAGGTGTGTGGAAATCGGTCAGTAAATGGATTGGAGTGCTAACAGTGTTTCACAATATTGGGTGGAAACACATGGAGAAATTTTAGTCCCTGCTTAGAGGCGGAAAATCGATAACAAAGAAGCTCTCGTTATATGGTTCACAGGTATATGGTGCATATGGAAATCAAGGAATGAGAAAATTTTATGGAACGTGGAAATCAACTTAGAAAAAATCATCGAAGAAATCAAGGCGGGGTCATGGAAATGGCTAAAAATGAAAGCGAATTGGATTGAGGAAGATATCGACCAATGGTTCACGCATCCGAATGATTGTCATGGAATGAGTGCAAATTGATTAGTTTACATTCCTATGGTAGGAGAGGTGCAGGTTGTTTTCTGGTTTAGTTTGTGTGTTGCTTTACAGTTTTTAGGTTGGTCAGTTCAATAGAGCAGGTGGAAATCACAGTTTCAGAAGTTTTCTGCAGTATAAAAATTACTGATACGCTTTGGTATTGAGTCTGTCTGTTTATGTTGTTAGCTATATTATATGCTAGGTGGAGATAACTGAAAGAATGGATCGTTGGTTTTGTTCTTTATATGCTAGGTGGAGATATTTGAAAGAATGGATCGTTGGTTTTGTTCTTTAAGGGTGATGAAGTTAATAACTAATTGTATGTGCTTAGGCAGATGAGGTATGTTGGATGTAACATGGTAACATTGTATTTGTATTTTGGCACTGCTTGTGCTTTATTTAATTCTTTTGGCTTTTTTCAAAAAAAAAAAGTTTATATTTTATAATCGTTATTTATATAATAATTTATTTGTTTTTTATCTTTGAAAATTATTTTTGACAATTTTCTATCCAATCATAATATTACATATATTAAAAATTTGTTTTTATTTACTATTATTAATCTAATATCTAAAAGTTATTAAATGAAAAACTTTTTTGAATGTTAAATATTCTTTAACTTTATTTTTCTTTTGACAAGTTATAGTTTGTCTTTAATTGCATTGGTTATTTTAATTTATTTTTCTATTCTTTTTATCTTAATTTATTTTAAATTACATAAATTTATATGTTTTAATTTCATATTTTTATTTTCTTTCATATCAAACTATTAAATAATAATTTGACTATTAATTTTTTTTGGTATTAAAGAGAGCCAAGGCCTAAAAAGAAGAAAAGACTGCAACAAAACCAATCTCGAGATAGAGAATCTCGTAGCATTACATGCAACAGATTATCTAATGATATATGGATTTTAGCCTCTAAACTTTAGATGTTCTCTACCCTCAGCACCAACTTTTGTTAACGCGTCTTCATAGTCGGTCGCTTTCATATAGGAATGAGTTACCTTCACTTAATCATGCATTCTGAAAATGATTAAGGAGTCAATATTTAGCTATATTTTTTAAAAACCTAAAGTCTTTGAGAGGGATAACCTTTCATAAACTCGCCATAATTCCGCTCTAAGAGCACCATAAACCCAAATATGTTTTGAGAAACCACCCTTACAAACATCATGCATATCACGTATAATACCTCAACAACCTAACAATCTTCATGCAATGCAACTCCATCAGTATTAAGCTTGACCCAATTTTCCTCTGGTGGTTTTCATCCAACCATAACCACTACTTTATCGCCCCAAGCAACAACAACAAACAAAACACCACACCCAGTCTTGAACTTCCATTTTCCAAATCATGTTCCAGCTACAGTCGATAGTTTAATCATTCTTGACCATACTTACATACATATTCTTAGCTGAAAAACCATCTCTTCCAACTCCTGCAAAAAGAAATACATCTTCTCCACATTCATTATTAGGTGTAGGTACTGCTTTGATCTTTTGCAAAATTATATTCGGAAGCCAAGAATTTAATTTCTTTCAATCCCAATTTCCCATATTATTTACTAGATCACTCACTTTAGCATGAGTAAGGTCTTTTGGTATGTCTACTTCCAAATTTTTGAATAATTATGTCTAGTTAGATCTAACACTTTGACCAAGCATCAGTTCCTGATCCATTCCCAATGCTCTAGTTCCCATGGTTCTGCACAGTTGACATCAGTTTAACAATATCTCTCCAAAACTTAGAATCACAACTTTGACTTATGCACATTTTAAGATTAGAAACACTATTTATTCTTTAACACTGTGCACCAGAGCTCATTTCCTTCATAATGCAACTTCCATATGTATTTCATGAAACAAGTATTATTCATGTGATCAAGATTCTTAACCATAAGCATCCAGCTTTTTGTGAATATTGGTTAACATGTCTCAGTCAGAGTTTTAAAAAATGGTCCGCGACCGTGAAATCTGTCGCGACAAAATGGTTTTGGAATATGCCGATACTCATACTGTTATTACCGTTTTCTATATTGAAGAACAAATTATGGTTAATTCACACCGTGACGACCATAATACACCTGTACCGACCGAAATCGCAAAAAACTTCACGTGACCATTGTAACACCCTAATTTAGAATCATTGTTTATAATAATTATCTAGGAATAATCATGATTTATTTGGTTTATTAGTTGATAGGGTGGGAGTGTAAGACATTGAGTAGAAATTATATTAGATTAATTATATAGTTTGTGATACTGATAATTAAAATAATAAAATAAAATAGAATATTAGAATTAGTATAGATTCTAATGGTAGAGGTAAGTGTAGATGTGTAAGTGAGGACATGATGGGAAAATCCTAATTGGAAGAATCTTTTTATAATAAAATAAAAGGGAATGAGGAATAGTGAGGTTAGTTTGCATCATACGTGAAATAAAGAGCAGAAGGTGAAAGATGCTAGGGCATAGAAAAGCAAGAGGCGTCCATTCCTTAGAGCTTGAAGAGATCTATTGATAGGAATAACAGGGTAAGGGTGAGTTATTACATTTCAATGATGATTGGTATGAGGTAGAGTAGATGATTAGATTTGGAAAGTTAGGTTTTGTTCTTATATTATTGCCTTGATGATTTATGATGAATGTTGATGAATCATGATGATTTAGGACTGAACTTATGCTAATAAATTGTTATTTGTATGCTTTGATTTAATTGTCATGGTGTGTTTTTATCATATTGTTGAATTTTTGAAGTTGGGGGTGAATATGAGCATTATAGGGTATGAATTGTAGGGGTTAATCTATGATAAACACCATGAGAAAAGTTGAATAAGTAATGTTTGATCTATCGGTGTAATTGTTGAAAACACTTTACATGGCAAATATTTATATTATCGTTTTCCACAGAGATTGGTGTGATATTACCGCCTTTCTACAATTAGAATTGTTTTAAGCTTAAGATTCATAAAAGGTTTTGGTTTTGGTTTTAGTAACAGAAAGTTTCATCTTCATGAAAAAGTATCAAGTATCAGTGTAATATGGTGAGAGAACTGACTTGGGAAGTTTGTGTTTTATCGCAAATGTTATGGTTAGCAAGAGTCGCCACCGACTTTTCTTTTATTCAAAAGGAAAGGTGGAAAAAAATAGGAAAGACCTTTGAGATTATTTCTTGAGTTCGGGGGGTAGATTATGAAAAGGGAAGGTGTTAGCACCCTTTTCATCCATAGTTATCTATGGGC